AGAGAGAGAGAGAGAGAGAGAGAGAGAGAGAGAGAGAGAGAGAGAGACAGAGAGAGACAGAGAGAGACAGAGAGACAGAGACAGACAGTCTGGGCTTTATAAAAAAAAATGACAGCTTTTATTATTGCAACACTTAGTTCCTGCTTTGTTTCTTCCAACGGGGAACATAACTTCTCTTTTTGAAGGAGGACCCTATATGTACTTAGCCAAGGTTGGTCTCAACTACAGCAATCTTCCCACCTCTACGTCCCAAGTACAGGGCCAAGGGTGTGAGCCACCATGCCGTGCTTATAAGAATACATTTATTTTTATTGGGCCAAGTCTTCTGAAACCCTAGGGCAGGGTGCACATGAGGAAGTGGGTTGGGAATTGACCTCTGATTCCTGTCTGAGCTTTCATAGTGGAAAACAAGGCCGTCTTGCTGGAGGAGCCAGAAGAGATCTGTGTGTTCACTTGGGCTTTGGATTCTCCAGTTCTACTTTCTGCCTTGTGGTCCTTGTCTTCCCCCGGCCAGTAGGGCATGTGTATATTACTCTGCTCCCCATCCTACCGGTCTCTGGTGCAGGTCACACTCTGGATCATCCTGACTTAGTTCTCCAGCATCTGTTCACAGGTTCTTGCCACATCACTAATCTTGAGGCGAGCGTAATCTACTCGCTTTAGAGCCATTTGACAATCCTTCCTGGAAGAGTAGCTGGAACCCTCATGTGGCTGGCCTGTGGCCACCTACGAGACAGATCAATCAATGGAGTACTGCCTGCCACCCAACCAGGCAGGACTAGGTCTCTGGTCTCATATCTTTCCCAAGTTTGATCTACATTAGCTGTCTGGTAACTCAGTGTTCTAAGGCAAAAGACTTAACCTGTGTGAACCTCATCTATGGTATAGGGACCACAGCAAGTACTTCCTAGACTTGGATAAGGTAATGCAGAGTGCCCAGCACACCACAAATGTTAGTAAACAGTGGTAAGTTCTCCGGAAGCCACTTAGTGCTGTCCCTTTTCTTAGTCCCCAAGCATATGTGCCTCACACCGGACATCCAGCCAAGTTTCTGGAAACAAAGTTCAGTAGCTTCAGTTTTACTTATTTATTTATTTAGTTAGTTCAGTACCAGGGCCTCTTTATGGTAGGCAAGTGTTCTAACACAGAGGTCCAACTCTCTCTTTTACCTACTGGGTCTGAATTGCCCAGACAAGTTTTGAAATGGTGATCATCTGGCCTCAGCCTCTTAAACAGCTGAGAATACAGGCCTGTGCCACTTGGTCTGTCTAGGGTATTGTTTATACACCCTAGACATTTTTAATCTTTCGCTTTTAGAGGACTAAACCAGCCCTGAAATGAAAGTGCCTATCGCACAAGAGGCAGTCTTAAGCAGCTAATGCTCAGGGAATCCCTAAGGCTAGGGCGGTGGTGCAGAGCTGAGCCCCGCCCAACACCTTCTAAACACACCCACCTGGGTGAGGTAGCGGATCTGAGCCGACAGCTCAGCCTCCACGTGCTGCACAGAAGCGGTGAAGGCTGCCGCCTGCCGGTCAAGGAGCCGCTCGTTAGTTTTTTCCTTGGACAGTTCCAGGATCGCCGTTCCTGCCAGGGCGGGGAGAGGGCGGTGTTAGACACAGGCTGCAGACGTAGCTCCGCCCTTAGGCTAGCATTAAGGGTCCAGTCCGGGCAGATCTTCCCACCCTGCTGTCCGCTCCTCGCTTCCCGAACCTGCGTTCTGGAGGATGGCTCCGATTTCGCGCTCGATGTCCTCCAGGGCGCGCAGCCGCTCGTTCGCCAGGCTGTAGGTAGCCATCGTTCCAGTGGAAAGCCCCGCAGGCCGTCTTTTGCGAGGTGTGGCGCTAAGGCCCGGAAATGCCTGTTAATGTGCGCTTGCGCAGAGGCCACTGTAGCGAACACTACAATTCCCAGGATGCTCAGCGCGGCCTCGCCCTTCCGAGTCTACTTGGTCTAGTCTGACTGCCAGGACTCTAATGCCAGGCCAGATCGTGGGTGGGAAGAGGCGGTTATTGACTTTTGTTTTCTGACAGGGTTTCAGTATAGACCAAGTTGGCCTGGAACTCACAGAGATCCTCTGGTGTAATAGGTCTGTCAAAATGAAGATAGTCTAAAAAGACACTTGTATCTCTTCAGTCTTGACTATCAGACTGTTGAAACAATGGCTGCCAAAAAAATGAGAATTTCTCTAAGAGTCTCATGCTGAGAGAAGGAAAGGGTACCCGCCAGAGGGGGAACTTATCTTTCAGAAAGAGATTTTACACAGTTCTAACAACTTGTCAGACCACTTTACGAGATGAGACTGAAGTCCAGATAATGAAGAGGCAGTAGTGGGTGTGACCGCACACCTTGATGCGGGTGGGGGGTGCTACTTAGATGTGCCCAACCTTGCTCTGTTTAAACTTTGATGTTGCATCAGTATCCTGAAAATTGACTTGAGGGGACTTGCTGGATCTCTTTGTCACTCTTCCCAAATTGGCCACATTGAATAAGTCTCCTTTTTTGACTTTCCATTTTTAATTGGCTTATTGAAGAAGGGTGGTCAGACACGACCTGGGGACTAGTCTCCCCCCACCCCATTGAGTATCACTGCCTCTGCCTCCCTAATGCTGGAATTAAAGGTATGAGCCACCACTGAAACAGCCTGGTGGCCCAAAGTCACTCAGACCTGTCCAATTTAATTGACAGTCTGGTGGACTTACTGAATTTATAAGAATTTATTATTAAGCACTGGCTCTGGGCCAGGTGATGACGGGGGGGGGGTGGGGTGGGGAGAATTCAAGTGTGTTCCTTCATACTGGGTAGTCATGGGTTCTTTGATGGCCAACCTCTCTCAAGGAAAGCATGACTTGGCGTGTTAAGCCATTCTCCCTAAGGCTTCTTCCTGATCCTGAGCCCAGTTAATTCTCATGTCCTGGCTCCTTCCCTCGGCTTTTCTGTCTCTATCAATTAGGTGTGCTAGGCTCTATGGATAGAAAGATAAGTGAAATGTTCTCTCACTCAATGGTGTTTGTTAGCTTTTTTATTTTTTTTATTTTTTTATTTTTTTGGTTTTTCGAGACAGGGTTTCTCTGTATAGCCCTGGCTGTCCTGGAACTCACTCAGTAGACCAGGCTGGCCTCGAACTCAGAAATTCGCCTGCCTCTGCCTCTCAAGTGCTGGGATTAAAGGCGTGCACCACCACTGCCCACCAAAATTTATTTATTTTATTTGGTGGGTAAGGGTATTTTGTCTGTACGTGTGTTTGTGAATGGTGTGCATGCATTGTCCATGGAGGTTAGAGACACTGGATCCTCTAGAACTAAGGCTATAGGCAGTTTTGAGCCACCATGTGGTTGCTGGAAATAGAACAGGGTCCTCTGAAAAAACAGTCAGTGCTCTTAACCACTGAGCTTTCCCTTCAGACTTAGGAAAGGGATTCTTGGAGGAAGTGGTTCTTGAACTGAATTCTGAAGGGTTATTGCGGTGGATGAGAGGTTGGAGTGGAAAGGGGAAACAGTATCCTCTAATAAATGGGGCTGTGAAGGGGCCTGGTATGGTTTCAGTACAGTAAGAAGTTCTGTTTATGTGGAGTGAGTGGAATGTTATTGGTACTTAGAGATGACATAAAGCTGGAATAGGGAGATCAGAAAAACTCATAAGCTAAGTAATCGAAATTTATTCTAGGATGCTAGGAAAATGGCTTGAGCTGTTAGAGCACTGCCTGCTCTTGCAGAAGACCTGAACTCAGCTCCCAGCATCACATCAGGTGGCTCACAATTGCTTATGTCTCCAGCTCAAGGAAATCAAATGTCCTTTTTTGGCTTACATGCAGATACCTGCACACATGTGACATAGACACACACACACAAGTAAAAGGGTGGAGGGTGGATTAGGGAGTAGTGGGTGTATGATCAAAATACATTGTACATCATTCTCAAAGAATTAATTTCAAAAATTTGGGGACTGGGGGTAGGCTGGAAAAATGGCTCAATGGTTAAGAGCACTGACTGCTCTTCCAGAGGTCCTGAGTTCAATTCCCAGCAACCATAAGGGATCTGATGCCCTCTTTTGGTGTGTCTGAAGACAGCTACAGTATACTCATGTATAATAAAATAAATTAAAAAATGTCTTTTGGGGGACAGGGTTTCTCTGTATAGCTCTGTCTGTCCTGCAATTTACTCTGCAGACCAGGCTGATCTCAAACTCCCAGAGATCCACCTGCCTTTGCCTCTTAAGTGCTAGGATCAAAAGGTGTGTACTACCACTGCCTGGCTCAAAGAATTAAAGTATTTTTTTTTTTAGATGAAAGAAATTCTGAAGGGATTTTGGGACTTTTGAAAGTGTGTCATGATAGATTTACCTTTTTTATTTTAAGAGTACTTTTAAGACTTCCATCAAGAATAAAAGTACTGCTGGTTGTGGTGTTGCACATCTTTAATCCTCATGTTCTGGAAGCAGAAGCAGGCGGATCTCTGTGAGTTTGAGTCAAACTTCACAGCAAAGCTCAAAGCCAGCCTGAGTTGAGACCTTGTCTTGAAGGAAATAAGGAAGACTGAGGAGACAGTTCAGTTGGTAAAGCGCTTGCTAGGCAAGCCAGTGAGGATCTAAGTTTGAATCGCCAGCACCCATGGAGAAGCCAGAGCCAATGGCTTTCATCTGCAATCCCAGTGCTTCAGGATAGACACCAGTTTCACAGCCTTGCTAGCCAATCAGTCTAACCAAAACGGTGGTTTCCACATTCAGTGAGAGACTTGAACTTCTGATCCTCTTGCCTCTGCCTAGGTGCTAGGGGCATACACATGGCCAACTCATAGAGAGCATCTACCTGAGTCGACATCCAAAGTGCCAGGATTAAAGGCATGCACCACCACGCCTGGCCCTCTTTGTGATTTTTGCTCCCTCAACTGTACCCAGGTGCCCACCAAGTGAAAACTGTTTCCAATTTCCTACAAAGAAGCCTCTAAGATCTTGGAAGAGACATTGGGGAACTCTTCTTGCAAGTAAAGTAAATGAAAAGGGCAGCAATAGTCCACGACTTTAATTCTAACACTTAGGAGTTCAAAGCCAGCCTGATCTACAGAGTCAGTTCCAAGGCCAGCCAGGACTATATAATGAAACTGTGTCAAGAAACAAAACAAAACAAACTGACAAAGAGGAATGGGAACAGGGCCTTTTGGCATACACCTATGACCCTAGAACTTGGCAGGTAAAGGCAGGAGGATCAGAAGTTCAAGGTCATTCAAGGTAAACAGTGAGTCCATGGCTGCTTTGTGCTCCATGAGACTCTGTTTCTAAAGAAGAAAATCACAAACAATTACACTAAAAAAGGTGAAGAAGCAGGCAATGATGTATTCCTGTAACCTTAACACTAGGGGCAAATTCAAGGCAAACCTAGAATACTCGTTCTCCAAAATCTAAATGCTGACACTGTAGCTTAGCTTTGTTTGGGGCTTCCAGTTTTATCCTCAACACTGAAAGGAAAAATGGGCAAAGAGAAAGGGATAGGAATGAACATGGAAATGTTAGATACTGGCTGGAGAACAGAGGCTGGGTGGTAACTGGTCTAGCAGTGGAGTGGTAACTAAGCCAATGTAAGCACTAGGGAGCTGACTGCCCCCAAAGCAGTAGTAGTGATATGACTTTACACAAAGTCGGTACTAAAATTTAGAGGGTTATTTGAAGGAATTGGACTACCAGATCTCTTGACTTTATATATCTTGGCAAACACCCCCTACTCCAGGAGAATACTGAAGAGTTTTTGTTTGTTCTGTTTTTTTTTTTTTTTTTTTTTTTTTTTTAAGATTAGCACCTTTAGGGGCTGGAGAGATGGCTTTTCAGTTAAGAGCACTGGCTGTTCTTCCAAAGGACCCAGGTTCAATTCCCAGCACTGATGTGGTGGCTCGCAACCACCTGTAGCTCCAGTTCTAGGGGATCCATTCAATATCCTCTTCTGGCCTCTGTGGACACACATATACTCAGACACAAACAAATACACACAGAGAGAGAGAGAGAGAGAGAGAGAGAGAGAGAGAGAGATTAGGATCTTGCTGTGTACCTGGCTTGCCTGGACAACACTATACAGATCAGGCTGGCTTCAAGGTCATTTTTGTCCCATGTCTGTTTCCCAAGTACTAGAAGTACAGGGGTGTGCCACCTGGCCTCAGACAGTGCTTTTTGGTGACGGACAGCAGGGTTTTTTGCTTGGCACCTGGATATAGCTGAGGGCAAGAACATGACATGACACTGTAAACAAATTAAGTAAATGTTTATATACTGGGTTGTAACGTCTACAACTGACAGCCAGGTTCATAGTCTCCAGGTTCAAGACTCCCGGAAGTTCCTTGGGGAACTTGATTACCCAGAGAAACCATCTAATTAACATCATGGTTCTAACAAAGTCCTTAGCCAGACCAGACCATGTTGAAATTCATTGGTGGTAAGTTCCAGCTGTGTACATGGAACAGTTAGTCAATTCTTTTCACTTCCCTGGAACTGGACATCTTCCTGCCTCAGTCTCGTGAGTCCTGGGATTACACTACCACACCCAACTACCACTTCACTTTTGAATATGACCAGACAGAAAAGGATTTATAGATAGTTGAAGAACTTTCTAGCATGAAAGCAATAAACACAGAGGAAAACCAAAATCCCATAGGCCCCAGAGTTTTTTTTTTAAACGTATGATCGAGACTGTGGGATACTCCTGTGGTCAGAGCTAACTTGAAAGACTGGAAAACATAGCAAGAATGCCCTAGTTTTTCTTTTTTATTTATTTTCCAAGACAGGGTCTTGGTATGTTGCCTATGCTCCCTGTCTCTTCTTACAAACAAACAAACAAACAAACAAACAAACAAGGTTGAATCCA